ACATGCAGGCTCTCACACCTATTGAAATGAAATCTGACATCAAGAGTAGAAACATATTTAAAATCCCAAGAATTAGAGAGTAAGGGCCGGGGATGTAGCTCAGTGACACAGCAACTGCCTGGCAAGTGCTAGGATCCATTCCAGATACCAAAAAAAAAAAAAAAAATTAGGAGCTTAAATCCTAAACTTGTAAAGGATACATGCATCAAATGTAAGGCTTCATTAAGTATTAAGGATGTAAAAGCATGAAAATGAATATACAATATATTAATTAACATTTCAGGGAAGCCAGCTGTGGTGGCACATGCCTGTAATCTCAGCACTGGGGAGGATGAGGCAGGAGGATTGCTGTGAGTTCAAAACCCACCTTGGCTACATAGTGAGTTCCAGGTCGGTCTCAACTGCATAGTGAGACCCTGTCTCAAAAAACCAAAACCAAACCAAACCAAACAAAAAACAAACAAAAAAACATTGCAGGGACCCAGAAATGGGGCATTCAAAAGAAATTTAAAACAATGCATATACATATTGGAAAAGAACAAAGATTACAATATTAGAAATTTACAGAAATAATATCACCGTGAAAATTAAAATCACTCAACAAATCGGAAATTTCATTACCCATTATTTATGTAGATTAGACAAGAGAATAAATTATTAAAAGTGTCAAAGACATTACTGAATCATTAATGTAATCCATTACAATAAAATCTAGAGGACAAATCATAAAATGCTCTCGGTGAATATAGACAAAACAGAAGATTAAAAAATAATAAGCTGAGGGCCGGGGATTTAGCTCAGGGGCACCGCGCCTGCCTGTCATGCGCAAGGTCCTGAGTGTGATCTTCGGTACTGCAAAAATAACAGAAAAAAGTAATAAGCTGAGATTAAGATGGAACACATTAAAATGTCTTTGCTTGTGTATAACATCAAGGTAAATGCTAGAAATATTTAAAGTACCAAGGAGAACCTAATGGGATTACTAAGGTGTTGTGGTCGTTCTGCCCGTTGGTATGCAAGAGAATGAAGACACAATGGTGAAAATTTTGACCATAGCACAACTCAAATGGAAACTTAATTGTACTGAATTGTACTTAAAAATTCTGAATTATACCGATCTTACACTGCTAGATCTTACACTGCTGTTACATCTGCTCCGTATGGAACCCAGGAGATCACTAGGTATTTGGCAAGAGCTCCGATACTGAGGCATAGCAAAACATTTCTATAAATTCTCAGGGCCTCTGTCAACAACTACCACGAGTTTGGAAATGTGAGGACACACTGGAAATTTCAGAGACTACGATAAATATAAAAAAGCAGAAATCTAAGGAGAGCAGTTGTGCCTGTGAGACCCTGTGTCAGATATTAAACTTCAGATCCTCCAGATCTGCTGCTGGTAGGAATGAGACCAGGAACCTAGCTCACCGCAGCTACACCCGGCTCCAACCCACCTGTGAGTCAGGGTCTCCCCAAACGTCTTCCTCTCCCCAAACTGGTGGCAGACTGAGGACAGCAGGGGGTTTTCCCAAGACGGCATTGTGGTTTGGCGGTGTCACAATGAGAACAGGATTCTGGGGATCTGGAAGTAGCCTTGCCCCAGCAAAACCCAAAAGGGGCAGAGAGTGAGCCATGGCCAGTGCAGGTGGACCTCAGGGTCTAAAGTTAGGAACTGAGGCTCTAGCCACCACAGCTGGTTCGATCACTTCTAACGGATCGCACCCCCACTCCACCCCTATTTCAGGGTTCCCATCCCACAATGTTACCATTGCGGTGCTTGAGGGTCTCCCGGGGTCTTTCTTAGGCAGACCACAGCTACTAAAAGCAACTGAAAGAGGACTTGCAAGCTTTGCGCTCCAAACTTTAGCACCACGACACCGGAAGAACCCGGCCACCTTGGCCCACCTGATTGGACAGCTCACAAGCCCGCCCATTCATTGGCTCCTGTTCTATTAACTTCCCTCCCGAGGAGGAGAGAAACAAATCCCTACCTGCAGAAGTGGATCCCAAATGAGAAAGATTGTAGTGCAGACTTAAGGACCAGGCAGGCTTCTACAATCTTGACCTCTACTCCCCTGAGGGATACTTGGTTTTAAGAGTTTTGCCCCTTGCTTTTCAGTGCTGTTTCTTTTTTCTTTTCTCTCTCTCTTTTTTTTTTTTTGTACCGGAATGGAAGGCTTGTGAGGCAGGCAGCGGAACCACTGAGCTAAATCCTCTGCCCTATTCCTGTTTTCTTAAAGAATTCATTTCTTCCTGAAAATGTGTCACAAATGTGTCAAGAAGGTCCAGCATCAGGAGCTGCGGATTTAGCCCAGTAGTGCCCAACCTCCCTGGCAAGCACAAGGTCCTGAGTTGAATTCCCAGTATTAAAAAAAAAAAAAAAAAAGTCCTTGGTCAGTGTTCTGTGGAAAATTCAATCTCATGACATCAGGAAACATCCTGAGTCCAGCCCAGGACTGGACATAGTGGAACAGAGTAAGGGCAGGCTGTTTGAGAAGTATATTTGAGAGCCAGGCAGCAGGCTTTATTGTCAAGATTTTTTCAATATCTCTCTCCACCTGTTCATTTTCAGCCAATGGAATGAATACAAGCCCCCAAAAGGTAGACAATTATTGTGCAAATGAAGAAATCTGAATTAAATGATATCAATAATCTGCAAAAAAAGTAAAGATAGAGGAAAATCAAACATTTTAACTCTCAGACTAGCTTAGCAGTCAGGCTCATAGAAAAGCCTGAATTCTGAAAGTGAGCCTATTGCCACAAGTGAGGGTCAGAATGATTGGGGAAATGGAGCCTACTGCTCATCCACTCAGCCATTTCCTGGTGATGAGGCAGAGAAACTTAAGGACTTCTGATATCATTCATCATGCCCTGTAGGTCCCTCCTCACAGACTGAAATTCTGCCTCTTCAGGATTTTACTTTCCCTCAAAGGAATGACCTGGAGCCATGTAATACACTTGCTAGCAGCTAACTTGGTTGTGGGGTATTAGCTAGGTACACTTCTAGGTGTGTCTGTTGGAGTCACATGAGTTTGGCCTGAGGAAGCTAATCTGATCCGTGGATCCTTCCCCTCAGGTTCTTTTCATGCTGCCTGACTCCTTATGTCATAAAAAATGTATCTTTTTCTCTTCATTTCTATTTGCCAAATTATTTTTATATTGGAAACAGTTAAACCCAGACTATACTCTCTGAAACAATGAGTCAAAAGAGGCCTGTTTTTATTAAGTTCTGTATGGCAGGTATATTGTACCTGTAACTAACTAATTAAGCAAGTAACTAAATAAATACCTAATATAATTCAGTTAGGTATGTGTCCTAAATAATCTTGCAAATGCATCAATTCATTCTTCACATAATTATATAAATGAGTCTTTTCAATGACTGTTCTTCACAGTTTTTTGGGTTTTTATGTGTACATGTTTCAGTCTGACCCCAGCAACACTTTGCTTATCAAAACCACTTACTTCCACTTCAATCCACTCTCCTCCATGCAGGCAAAACTCACTGAGTGCTAATGCACATTTGGCCATGAACTCATGTTAAAACAAATCCACTGTTACAGAAAACTGGCCTGGTGTTACACAGCATTTCGCAAGCTGATGGAGGCCTCCTTTATTGCCTATCAATTTCACTTGTAAGTGTTGCCTTAGAAGAACCCATGATGAATATCCACAATAAGTGAAAATATGTATGACATTGCTCTCTGGGGAACCACTCTAACATCCCTGAGTGTGTTATAAATTCTTTTTTTTTTTTTTAATTTCTCAGTACCAGGGATTGAACTCAGGACCTTGTCTCTGTAAGGCATGCCCTATGCCATTGAGCTAAATCTCTGTCCCCACATGCCTGAGCATATTGAAACAAGGTTGCAAGCAATCTGGCCCCACATCCCTGAGTGTATTGCAAGAAGGTAATTGACACTTTTGTGGCGGTCCAGCCATCACAACACTAATGTGCCTGAGTCCGGGAGTGAGGATTGAGAAAGGAAAGAACACTGAAGCCTGAGTGGAGACCAAGAGAAGTCTGATTTATTTCACAGAAACAGCTCCTTTTAAAGGCTCACATCAACAGGAAGCTTTTAAGATCACACAACAACAGAAAACACCAAGTAATCATTTTTATCTTTATGCAAAGACCGGATTTTCTGACTTTTACAAATAACATCAGATCTTTGGCTAACGAGTTCCTGTTATGGCAGGGTCAAAGAACAAAGCAAGCTTAGTCTGATTTATTTCACAGAAACAGCTCCTTTTAAAGGCTCACATCAACAGGAAGCTTTTAAGATCACACAACAACAGAAAACACCAAGTAATCATTTTTATCTTTATGCAAAGACCGGATTTTCTGACTTTTACAAATAACATCAGATCTTTGGCTAACGAGTTCCTGTTATGGCAGGGTCAAAGAACAAAGCAAGCTTAACAAACAGTATCTCAACAATTTCCTTGAAAAGTAGCAAATGTTGCATAGATTGTGTTGATGCCTTAATTGTACAGGAAGAAGTTATTTTCCAAATGTCAAACTCCAGTGTGCCATGACTGGGCCCCGACACACTTTCATCTACAGGTACCCAAAATTTACGTGTGCCTTTTCCATCTGGAATCACAAGTGCACATGCTTCAGGTCCCATTCAAATGCTGCAAATCCCTGACATTGTCTTTCAACATTACTGAAGACCAAAGGAATCATGGCCTACTTCATCACACTTTTTTCCAAACTGCCATGCTCGATAAAAGAGAATTTCTCATCTGAGTCCTGAGAAGCTGATCATACAGAAGAAGAGCTTTATTCATCATGATTGTTCCTTCTAAGCACGTTTATATTTTGATGCTAAACTCACAGTTGATGAAAATAAGAAAAATTAAGATACTATGACAACATGAAAGAAGGCAGTTTGAACCTCGCTTGCTCAGTCAAAAAGGTGGCATTTTACCTCAAGTGCTTTGAATGATGCAAAGGATTTTCCCAGGCAATGTTAAAATAGCATTGATGGCAGACAAAGTAGTTGGAATCAAAGGCATGTGTGTGTGCTGATCATAGGTAGAGGGAAGTATCAAACACTGAGTGTAGAGCATGAAGGAGAGGGGAGGCTCTGAGAAACTTATCCCTTTTCCGCCTATAGAAGTCTAGTAAAATGTTCCAGCACCATTCACTTTGAAGGAAATTTCTAGGTGGAATGAGGTGGACCTTTACTTAAATTTCCCTAAGTTTCAGATAGTTCTATACTACTGTGCTAATGGAAATTTGAGGAAACAGAATGTACCTAATTGTAAGGGTCAGGGGACTGGACATCACTGGAGACCCCTGCAGTAGGTCCCAGCCTCCTGTGCACCACCACAGCACTGGCTAAAGGTTAAAGAATAGACTGAACCAGAAGTACAGTGAAGCTGAGTCTTGGGTCCTGGTCAATGCTGCTCTAGGCAACAATGACAAAAGCCCCCAAGGGCGTCCAGCATTTATTGAATACAGTCATAAGAAGAAATAGGGGGCTAGGGAGCTTTTAAGTCATCTAGTGGATTACTGCTGAACACCTGGCATGATGGCACCAGGCAGGTCTGTCAGGGAATAGGCACTGCTTATCTTGCAAGTATACAAGAAACTTGTACTGGGTCCAGGCACAATTAGCAAGCAACCCACAAGGTCCGTTGTGGGAGCCCGCTGGCATTTGACATTGGAAAAGTAACTTCTTCTACCATTGAGGCATTGACACAATCTATGACTCTATTTGGCTTTTCTGAGATGAGGGTCTCAGCTATACAGATGAGATTGACCTGGAGCTCACTGTGTAATCCAGGCTGGGTTTATGGGATTATCCAGGCTGGGTTTATGGGATTACCGGTGTTGACCTGGAGCTCACTGTAATCCATACTAGTTTTATGGGATTACAGGCGTGCACCACCATGCCTGGCTCAAGGACTTTGTTAAATTTGACCTTTGATCTCCTCCCTAATATTGCTTGATGTTTCCTGTTGGCTTGCCTTTAAAAGGAGCTGTTTCTGTGTAATAAATCGGACCTCTTGTCTCCACACTATTGAGTGTGCTGTCCTTTCTCAATCCTCACTCCCCAACTCAGGTACGTTCGTGTTGTGACGGCCGGACCGCCACAGTCAGTGAGAAGCGATAATTCAGGGAAAAGGATTTTTTTTTTTTAATTTAGTACTGGGGATCGAACTCAGCACCCTTTGTTTGCAAAGCAGGCGGCAGCACCACTGAACTAAATCACGGGCCAAGGCAAAGGACCTCAGCAGCACTTAATTCAGCAGAGCCCTGCCACATCACAGACCAGAATTTAGGCCTCAGTGACAGATATTAGCAAAGGAGAAATATCAGCCAGACTCTGGTAGCTGACATGCCCCTTTGACTCACACAGGGCTTTGGTCTGACTCCTTATGTATACATATGTAAATGAAGGATTGAAACCTGTAAACCCACTCCTTCCCTAAGTGTATAACCACTGGGCTCTGGCTGAGTGGCATGGTCAGTCTCTTTGTGGAGAAATTCCAAAATGACGCACTGGTGTTAAGAATAAAGCTGTACACATTGCCCCCAAAACTCCTGGGTGCATCTTCCATTTTCTTGGACTACCTGTGTTGAGCTGTAGACACTAGAGCTGAATATACTGCCTGCAGTAGTTAGATTCACAGACATAGTAATCAAAATTGTACTTTCAGAAACTGAGAGAAAAGAATAGGAAATTATTGTTTAATAGGTAGACATTTGGGAGATGGAACGATCTGTGTGTGGATGATGGTGATGTCTGTACTGCAGTGTCAAGGTGCACAATACTCCTGAATTGTACACATAAAATGGGCAAAATTCTAAACTGCTTCTGATTAATCACTGTAAAAATAAAATGAGCAGTAATTCAAAGACATACTCAT